GAGGCTGAGGGGAGACCTCATTGCTCTCTACAACTACCTGAAGGGAGGTTGTAGCGAGGTGGGTGTCGGTCTCTTCTCCCAAGTAACTGGCGAAAGGACGAGAGGAAATGGCCTCAAGTTGCGCCAGGGGAGGTTTAGATTGGATGTGAGGAAAAATTTCTTTACTGAAAGAGTGGTTAAACATTGGAACAGGCTGCCCAGGGAAGTGGTTGAGTCACTATCCCTGGAAGTATTTAAAAGACGGGTAGATGAGGCGCTTAGGGACATGGTTTAGTGGGCATGGTGTTGTTGGGTTGATGGTTGGACTCGATGATCTTGGAGGTCTCTTCCAACCTTAATGATTCTATGATTCTATGATTTCAAACTGTAATCTGCTCTTCAAATTTCTCACCCATTAGAAGGCACGATAAATGCAGACCCTGCCGCAAGAAGTGTTGCAGACATGGGGCAATTTGTGCACTGCAGAACTGCCGCTGTCGGAGGGGGGAGCTCTGTGCCTCATCAGGCAGCACAGCCAGTCAAGAACACATCTCCAAGTAATTAAGCTTGCCAGCTTTGTGCCTCAACTGAGCACACAGCATGATGCAGACTGATTCGTTTTGTAGCTGTTTTCAATACATGTCAGACTAGCATTAGAAAGTACTCATGTTACATCATTTCAGCATCCTCCGAGCAGAAGCAGATATTCTGGAGTAATTTCCACTTCAGATTTGAAATATAAAAGGCAAACGTATGTACTTCCCTATCTTATTGAAAGAAATTGAAGACTTCAGTATTTCTTCATGTGTTACCAGGTAAAACTCAGCTGAGCATTTCCATGTTTTGCCAGCTTTACCACACTAGTAGCAATGTTGCATTTTCTCACTAGACAAGCCAACACTGTGTCCTGTTCCAAGAGATGTAGGCTGCCAACTTCTTAAATACAACTTGACAGGTCTCTCAATATCTCCTAACCCAACCACTACCAACAGAAATCGGCATCTTCACAGGTTCATCTCAGCTGTGATTGCACAGAAGCAGTCAGAGCAGGAAAGGCTCACTGCCTTTTAATTCATTCTTGAGCTAAAATTAAAACTTTTCAAAATGTGATGCAAATCGCCAGAGTCTACCCACAGACAGCTCTCTCCTTGCTGTAGCTTTCAAGCCTAGAGGGCAATGTTCTCTCTGATTTTAGGCCATGCACTGGTAGCTTTAATATCATACCTCACCACCCATTCTGCCATTGCCAGTATATTCCTGTAACAGCTCACCAGCTGGAACATATTCCAGTTTCATATTTTCAAGTCAGGCCCATAAATACTTAATGGGTATTTCTCAACCCATTTCTTTTAAAAACCTGTCCATTATTCTTGCTTGCAGCAAGTACTCCTTTTAAGTCCTTGGCCTCCTGTACACACACATAAAAGAACAGCTTTAGCTGTTTCCCTGAAGCTCAAGCCATTTTCATATTCTGGAAGGGTTTTTATTCTGGGATCCCACAGCTGGCACTTTTTTTTTTTCAAGTTTCTCTTCCTACTTTTTCCTAGTGAATTTCTCACTGATCATCTACTTTACCTCTCCCATCCTTGCTTCCCTCAAAAAATCTTTCACTACTACTTTCAGAAGAATTTGCAAGTTGGGATACATCTGCATGGTCAGAAGATCACCCTTTTTCATAGCCGTGATGTTTATAGACTTTTTTCCAAACCAAAGGCACAAGTATTCCTACCCATCAAGCTCCTTTGTGCTTGAAGACAGAGTCACTTGTCCAAGTCTGTCATGACCAGATCACACTACAACTTTACTTGATCTATACTCCTCATTTGTAAGTTTGTCAGTATCTTACAAGACCTAAAGTCCAGCAAGTAGTATGGCAAGACAAGATGCCAACTAGAAGTGTCTGCATGCAAAATAATTCTTATTTTGACCCTCAAGATACGAGCCACCTTTAAAAAGATCCCATCTTACTTTGAAATATCCCCATTAGATTATAAAACTCTAACTTGATGCCCTGCTGAGAATTTTTAAAGCCTTCTCCACTGTATTCTAACAGCATATAAGCAAAAAACCCAACATTTAATGAAGTGTAAAACTAATTATTATGAAATAAAACTAGCTGTTCACAAAGTGGAAAAACTTCACATTTTCATGTCCTATTTTCCTTTAAAATGTATTCCCTTCCCATCATCTAGCATACTTCACAAATGTAAAAATAAATATTCTTCACACAGCAGAGTGCTGGCTTGAAGGCTACAAGTGCAACAATAAAAAGCTTCACAATTTAATGGCCCTTAAATGCTCAACATCTTTTTCACTTAATGTAAAATCCATCTGATCTAATAGCTGTGCCTGAATTACATGTATGTTTTTTCTATTAAAAGTTAATTTTCTGAGTTGGCAGAGCAATACAAGCATTAGATTAAAAAAGCAGTAATCCCTATAAACTTTCCAGGATTCAGAGACATTTCCAAGTCAGCTACTCAAAACAAAAAAAGTCACATATTCACTTTAAAAAGTGCTATTACATAATAGGAACATTGTGCCAACAATCAATTATAAGCTGCATTACCTTATTAATGTTGCTTTACTGTGTCATGGAACAGATCACAAAATACTTTTGTGAAGCACCCCTCAAACCTCTTAGATGCATTTCATTTACATTTGATATTTTTCTGACCTCCCATTTCTTCCTTTCATTTATCAGCGATGTTTGTCCATGAATGTATAAATACTGAAAGCTTCCTTCACTAGGCAGGTGATACCTCATGGTTGACTTTACCAAACACATGGATTATGACTGCCATGGGAACTTCACTCATATGCGGACATAGCCCAGATTTTACCTTCACCTTCATGAGTCAATTGAGCCAAAAAACCCCCAAACTTCTATACAGCATTGCCAAGGGACTTGTTCATTCAGTTTAAGCCTGGAGACATCCCCATTTGTACAGTATTTAAACAATCCACACCTATTAAAACTCAAAACGTTAAGCTTACTTTCTTGCATGCTATGATTTTATAGTATCACCAATACAAAGGTAACAGAAGAGTCTGAGCTACCATGTATTACATGAAGTATTGAATTACAGTGTTCCCAAGGAAATTCAGATTTAGTTTCTCATTTCTATGGCATTCTTTATCTTACATTTATTTCTAAAGCAGGACTTTCTTCCCAGGTAAGTACTTGAAAGTCCAGGTAGGACTTTCTTCCCAAGTACAATCCTGCTGTTAAGAACAGTGTTATGCAAAAGGCAAAGTAACCGCAATTAAAACTCCACAACTGCCTGCTGCCACCAAGCTGGCAAAAGCCCTGTGGCACTGCTGCTCCAAAAGGAAGCCACTTCCTGATGTGCAACTGAAATGTTACTACAGAAGATGTGCAATTGGGCTTGGTGGGTTTCCCTCCGCCCACCTCCCTCCCAACAAGTAGCAACTTCTCAACTTAATTATCTCCTTTTTAGTATCATATTAACAGAAAATACAGAGGAGTATTAAGGAAACATTTTAGAAAAGCAAAAAAAACCCCCAAACCAAAACACCTACATAACTTCCCAACACCAGCTATCAATTCACATTTCATAGAAAAATAGCAATTTTAATTATTCCTTTAAAAAAATATATGTACCGCAATGGATTAAGCCAGTAATCGTATTCATTCTTCAAGTAACATGACATTGGGTTGAAGTTGCAAAAGCGATCTTGAAATCATTTAACATGATGAGAAACCTCAGATCTATGCCACTTTAATTCAGCTGCTGGAACAGCAGTTACAACAATCGAGTCTCAACACAATAAGAAACTTAAGTGCACAACCTCAGTATTTCCAGGTAGCTGTTGTGGTATGGGTCAAGGAGTGGAATAACAGTGAATATTTTCAACTAGAAGCTCACTTTTGAAGATGTTTCAAGCTGGTATTTAAGTGGCATGTTAATCCTCCCTGCGTCCCCCTTAAAACAAAGATGGCAAAAGTAAAATACTCTAGCAGAAAGAAATTACTTTGTCTACTAAAAAATAAAAGAGGATGTAAATATAATTGAAAAAGCTTTTAAGTAATTAGCCTCACTGCAGAAAAATATGGTTGGAGATCAAAATACCCATATAGTACACCTGAGAATATATAAAGCTATCAGAAAATTATCAGTAAAAGCACTTCACGATACCCTGTAGATTAGCTGACTCGGTAAAGTTGACAGAATATATTTACTGGCAAAGGGAAGGTTTAGACACATCAAATCTTGAGACAGTTCTACTTAAGTGCAAGTTCCTCTTCAGAAAAAACTCAAATGCATATATACTCATATACTTTTTTTTTCCCAAGGCCAAATTAGAGATTTACAAGAGCCCTAAGGAGAGCTTCTGCTTACTAACTCGGAATGTAAGCAACTCCTTCAAGATCCAAGGAAGAAACCATGTTCCAGTCATTGTTTAAATACAGTAAAGTTCCACTTATACTCTCCATACCCTAACAACTTAACAACCTTACTCATTTTCATGTCCCACGGGCTGGATGAGATAATCCAAACCACCAAAAATTAAATTAAGCTAATGGTGAAATTAGAGCGCCCTTCACCTTCAAGTTATACCAAATGAATGGATTTTGGTAGTGCCAAGAAATTATTCTGCAAAGATTGCTTAGCATGAAATCAGGTAGCAGTGTAAGCTATTAAGTGAATATGCTTTCATTAAAAGCGGTAGTAAAACTTCACTGGCTCACCCCCAAACCTAATGACTGACAAAATAGACAGCTTGTCTGTTTGGTGTAGAAGTGGTCAGAGTCGATTTACTCTGAAGAACTAACTGGCAGAAGCTTTGAGTCTCAATCGATGTCACTGAAATGTTACCAACCATAAACTCTGGAAATAGATAGAAAAACCCAATAATCCCAGCGGACATCTAAAACACAAATGTGTAACCTGGTATTCAAGAGCATTCAAGCGAGTTCAATATCCTTCACTACCCAGACTATTTTGCCAAACTATTTACATTTCTTTACCTTTTACAGAATTGACCACTACAATAAAAAAAGAAGAAAACATTTTATTGATGATGTAATATAGGAGAAATTTAGAAAAACATACATAGAACTCCCTCAATAAGGAAACACAGTATCAAAATATGCTAGAGTTAGTATATCGAAACAAATTCTCTCTAGTAAGAGTTTCAAGTAATGCAATCATAAAAGAATTTGGCTAAAAAGTAACATATATATACTGAGATGTTTTCTGTAATAGTCCTCTAAAATTAAAGGAAAGCAGCAGATCTGTTTAACTACAGACACATATTTAGTAAATATATTAAGTATATTTATATAATAAAGACTGCCCTGCACATTCATCACTATGTCTGTATCCTCTATGGGGCAGTTGTCTCTTCAATTCTACAACAAGACTCTGCTCAAAAAGGAACAAAAAGGAAACAAACACAATACTACTAAAAAAATTGAGACCTAAGCCTGTGAGGTACAGCTTGTTGGGAAGCCCAGTTAACACGAAGCAGAGAACTCTGCACTCTAACTTAAGTCCTTATTTTTCAGGAACATGGAAGAGGAAGTTTGTCTTTTCTGCATCAGGATGCCAGATTCCTACTTGCTAGTTATAAGCAAATGCTTTCAACCAAGTAGACTGAAGTTAACACAGCTACTGATAGCACTTACACTGTTTGCTCTATTAAAACAGCCACATATGTTATCAGGCTCATTTTTCAGTTACTTTGAATAGTCCCAAATTTCATGTTTTCTTTCATAAAACTTACTTATGGGAATATCATCCTTCAGTTAAAAAAACTGAAGCCCTGTCTTGTTTAATAGGTAGATTCCCAGCAAATAAAAATTCTCATTTCATTAATCCTTACTATTTGCATCTTTCCCCATAAATAAGATTATAGTACATAATTTACAGTTAAGAGGAAAATACCCTTAAACTTCCATGAGATAGTGTTTGAAAATCCAATACCTGAATTATCTAGCATACATCTTAATGAGCTGCTCAGTCTACGCCCATATTAGGCCTAATGAAGAATGAAATTATACAGAAGTAGGACTATTGCATTTAGATCAAAATGCTGCTCTACAAACCATGATACTCCAGTCCCACTATTTTAGCCTACAGTAATCAATATTACAAAGCATTCATGAAAAATCTTGGGGAGGGGAGAAGGGGAGGCAAACATAAAAGTTAGTGTTTTGATGGTAAACCTGGTTTTTAAGTCTTGCAAAAAGCAAAGGCACTACATCTTAAGCTTATATTTAAATAAAGTCTGTAACCTGGCCAGCCAAGTTACAACATATACCTAAATACCTTTCATCTACCTTTGCAGCTGACTTACTAAGCATGTTGTAGTATGTCTTGATCAGCTTATGTGACAAAACAACCACTTTCTCTTAACCATTAAAGGAGATATACAGCTACAATACTTAGCCAAGCTCATTTGAACATAGTTTATTTTTAACCATACCATGAGAGTTCCAAGTTATAGGATAAACCGGAGTTTCTGGGTATAGGCCTTGCTTTAATAAGTGGTCAATCAGACATTAAAATAATTTAACTACTATGTCATCATTTTGACAGTCAGCTTGTAGAATGTCTTTTAAAATTGGTATACATTTTTATTAATCTAATGAAAGAAGTGTCAGATCTGAAACTTAGTAGCCCTATTTTACTGTTTTACAAGAAGAAAATACTTCAGCTTTGTAAGTTGTTTCATATTTGGAGGTTCTAATTGCAGCTATATTATCCTAATTATATAAATCTCATGAAGGTTATCACTACCGTAATCACAGCACTCCTACAAGATGCAGCAGCCTTCAAGAGCAATGGCACTAAGCACGTCAGCAAACAAGTCCCTGTCTCATTCGAATGATCTGTAGTAAAGCAGCTTGGACATCTTCATCCATGTGACCCTAGAGCAAGCAAACACTTAGTTAAAAGAAAAATTAAAAATCCCATGAAGTGTCAACCATCCATTACTAACAAACATTAGGAGATTCTTCAAAATTACCCAGAAAGTTTTAACTCATTGCTGTATTTTCACCACTCTCTGGGAAAATCTGAAATACTTCAGGAATCCTGTTATTTTTTTCTCATGAGAGAAAGAAGGGTCTGCCTCTCTGACACAGCAGTTTCCTTTATGAGAATATGATGTGGGAAAAAATTACTGTTCCTATCCTCTGGACTCCACAGCCTGCTGCTGTAGTAATGGTCCCCCTTTTGCATGCTTAAGTGTCTGAAGTCATAAGGCTTGAATTAGTTGATCAGCTCTTTGTTCAGTGAGAGCCACTGGATAAGTCTGCATTAAGTTTCCAACTTCTACTTGACTTCTCTCCAGCATTACCTGGGATGATGCAGACTTAATAACACGCTCACATCACCAGACACCATCACGCTTCAAAGCAGGTTATTGTTAAATATAGTTACACACAGACAAATGGTAATAAGATGGCACAATAAGACTACAGCTGTGGTATGTGTTTGGTTTTTTGTCCGATCAGTCCATTCCAAATAAAAACTCTCAACCTGAGAACAGGTACTTGATGCTAGTTTCAAGTTTGAGGTCTTCCAGTACGGCAGTTAGAAACGTCTCTCAAGAATCTCTACATTGAGATGACAGAGTAAAACAATCTGAACTTGAGACTATCATACCTGTACAGCACTAAGAAGATGTGTCCGATAAACTGAAACTACCTCTTGATGCTGCCTTTTAGCATCCTATAAAAAGAAGATAGGAAGAGCAGGTGAAGTCATCGAATTTTTAACATCTACTCTTGCCTATTTCCAACTTTGTGGGCTTGGGTTTGTGCACTTATAGACTAGCCAAAGCAGAATCTCGAGGTTAAAGTTAGCTATATCCCCTCCATTAATCAAGAAAAAAGTCACTGCTTCACTTTTTTTATTGCTTACTTGCAGCAAAGCAATTTTGCTGAAAGGCTATCAGAGACAGGCTGATCTAGTGTGTCAGCCCAGGTGCTGAGATGAAAAACTTGTTTCATCAACAGCATTAGCTATTTGTTTAAAACCACCTAATTTAAGAATGCTTTGCCTTATAAGGGTCAACCTTGCAAATACTATTAAAGATGTATCCTACTTCTGTACAGATTTACAAATAACTAACTTTGCTCACATACATAGCTTAATGAGCTTTATTGAAGTCACAGGGGCCACCAACATGTTTGTGCACAAACTCAGTACTTACCATAAAGTGTTCCCCTTTACTGATAGTACTTAGTGATAAACAATAGACTTCACACTGTCTGCAGAAAATGGAACACCAAGTCAAATCCATTAAGAAAGGACTACCTCACTTTCTTTCAAAGTGAGAAAATACACAGCTGGTGGTTTTTGCAAGAAAATATTAATGTGGAACTTGCATACAGAAATGGTCTTGGCATGAACTATAGCAGCATATCTCATAAGCATAAGTCTCTAAATTGTTTGTGTCCCTCTCATCTGGAAAAGTTCCCAAAAATAAAAGATTCATGAATACTCTACTTTTGAAGTCTAAGCCTACAGTCAACCCCAGTGCTCCAGTGACCCTCTTTATACAAGAAACTGTAAGCAATGCTACTGCATTTCAGACAACACCTTGCACAATTACTTACAGCTAGCTGTTGTTGCAGTGTTTTCACTTGGTTCTGGAGCATTTCAACCTGCTGGTTCTGCCTCTTTGAGGGAATCCCAGTGGTGTAAGTAAGTTGAGACAAGCCGTTAAGAGCTTGTTTTAACCGCTCTACATCATTAAGCAGCTCTGTTATCTTTAAAAAAAGCACACAAACCTCATTTAAGGATTTCTCAGTTACCAAAAACTAATATTTTTTAAATTTTTTTTAAAGTCTGATGAAGATCAGCTAGCATTGAAGGGTCTTTGTCCCAGCTTGCCATCACACTGGCTAAGAGACTTCGCAAAGATAGAGGACTTCATTTCCATGACACGCTATCACTGGTTCACATTCTGCTTCCTAGCATTGAAATCTGTAAGGTATGGAGGTATGGACCCTGGAGGTCAGCCAGCGACATAAATGACTTATGCTCTAAAGATACTCTAGGTGTAATTTCTAAAAAGGACGATGAACAATCAGAAGGCAAGCCAGAGATGCTAAGCAAATACAGCTCTAAACTACATGCAAATATAACCTATCAGAAGGAGGAATACAAACAGCATACACTTAACATAAATAAAAAGCACAGCTCTCAAAACATAGAGTGCCTAATATCTGTGTCAAATATCTTCCAGATTCAGAGTTAGTACTGTTTCTTACTCCTAGATTTTACTGTAAGAAAGTGTTCTCACACTAACAATCTGCTAAAGTGAACCAGACGTATTTAAGATCAATAAAAAGCCCCATTTAGGCATTTCAAAAGCTAATTGGTCACAAAATCATCTTCCTCCTTACATCAAGCTAACAACATCTTTCACACAGAAAGCGCTGAAGTAGTTTATCAACACATGGAAACCAAACTAGGAATACTTCTTGTATTTAAAAGTAAACTGAAAACACTCAAGTCACCAAATTGATGGAAGAATGAGCTTATACCCCAGAAGTCTGAAACTCAGCTTCAAAGTTTTAGATTTTAAATACAACAAATGATGCCTGAAACATACAAGGAATTAGAAAAACTTGGTATAAAGCTACCAAAACTAGGACTTCATCTTAGCAGATTTGGGCCAGTCCTGGGTACCTAATGCTCAGTACACAAAGTCATGCTTGAATACCTATGTAGCTATATTTGAAGTCTAGCTCCCTACTGCTAAACCGAAAACGTCAAGAGCATTAACTGACACATCCTACCTTGTTATCCTTGGCTTCCACCTGCTTTGCAGATTCCTGTATTCTCTTCTGCAAGTCAATAATTGTTGTCAATGATTTATCACACCTTTCTTTCTGGTCTTTGATTTCTTGCTCAATACTACAACTCCGTAACTCAAGCAACTCCTTTTCATCCTTTAAAGAAAGCTCGCTCTTTTTAGCTTGCAAAGCCTCCTCACATGCTTCCTCGTACTTTTTATTCATGTTGGACAAATTTTCAGCTATGCTATTAATCTGGGCCTCCAGAGTACTTTTCATGGATTTGTATTCTGATATGTCAATCACTTCTCTACTCTCCAGGTCTGTTAAAGCTTGTTGAGTAAGCTGAATCTCAAACTGCAACTTCAAGATTTCCTCATTTTTAACTTGATTTTCTTCTTCCTTTTCCTTCAAGCTGTTTTTGGTTGCTACAATTTCTTGTTCTAACATTTCCTTCATTTGTGTATATTCTACCAAAGGTATTGAAGATTTTTTTAGATCTGACAATTCCCACTGTAGTTCTCCTACTTTTAGTGTTTCTTTGTCATAACATTCCTTCTTACTTCTGAGAGCTTCCTTTAGATCCTCTATAGTGTGACCAAGAGCCTTCTTCAAGGCTTCAATTTGTTCTGCTGAAAGATGCTGAGCCTTCATAATTATGGGCTGCTTGGTACTCTCTTGCAGCTCATCTTTCTCTTCTTTTTGGCCCGTGTATTTCTGCAGCAATTCTCTCAATTGCTTATTCAACTCCTCCATTTTGCTTGCGAACATTTTTTCCATTTCACAGGACTTCTCAGCAAGGATATAGTTCTGCTGCAAGTCATTTTGGATGGACAAAATGCCATTTTTGAGCTTTTCATTCTCCTGTTTGCACTTCTTGTTTTCCTCCTCGCTTTCTCTGCACTTCTGCACCTGTTCCTGCAACTGTGCTTTTAATTCTTTCACTGTAGCTTCAAAGCTTTGTTCTCTGTCTTCAAAGGAGGCAACCGGGGCATATTTGGACTTAATGCATTCTTGAATTGTGTCAAGTTCCTTCTTTTGGGCTTCAATTTCTGCATGCAACTGTAAAATTTCTTCTTGACCCCTCTTATATTCAGCCATAATCGCAACATTGTTCTCCTGAAGTTCCTGCATGCTTTTATTTAAAGTAGTCACTGTAGTTTCATGATCTTTTAAACTTATATACTCAGTTTGTAATTGATTCTGTAAGAGTTTCACCTTATTTTTCAACGTTCCATTTTCTTCATTTACCCTTATGAATTCTTGCTTTACCTCTTCAGTTTTTTCCTTCAGATCTGACAGCTCCCTGTTATTCTTTTCTAGTGTGTTATTCAAGACTGTTTTAATCTCTTCATGTGTTGTAGCCAACACATACTGATCCCTGAGAGTCTCTCTTATGACTGTGTTTTCAGAGACTAGCTTGCATACTTTTGCTTGTTCGTCACCATATTTTTTCTGAAGCTCAGCAAGCTGCTTTTCAAGTTCAATGCCATTAGATTTTAAAGCTTCCATTTCTTTTTTGTGCTGCTCTGGAGACAGGTACACAGTTTGGTAGTGGCTGATATTCTCACTTAAATTGTTCTTCTCTGCCAGCAACTTTTCAGCTTCTGCTTTGCTTTCATTGTACTTTTTTGTTATTTCAAAAAGCTTTTTGGTCAGGTCACCAACAGTCAAATCATTTGTTTTCTTCAATTCTTCGTGAATTTTTAAAGGCACATTCTGACTTTTAATTTCAGTTTTTAGCATTTGGATTTGCTGCTTAAGCATCTTGTTATCAATCTGCAATCTTTCAAGTTCCTTCTGCAGAGTCTGATTCTTCTGTGATAATTCAGAAATTGTCTTCCCAAGTTCCTCATTTTTTCGCTCAAACCCACTCCTCATTTGTTCGTGGTCTTCTGGCTTTACATGCTGAGCAAGTTTAGCTTTCTGACTCTCAGATTCCCTCTTTAAAAGCAGAATCTCCGCCTGCAGTTTTTCATGCTCTCCTTCCAGCTCTGCTAGCTTCCTTGCTTTCTCATTCACTTCATTTGATAACAAACGCTTCATGTTTTCAAATTTCTCTGAAGTTATAGAGTGGGCTAACTTTGCTGCTGTTTCTTTGAGCTGCCCTTCTAACTCCGTGACATTTCTTCCCCTTTTATCTCGTTCCATCTCCAACTTAACAAGTTCCTTCTGTAACCTTTTATTTTCCTCCACTAGCCTTCCTTCATCCCTCTTAAATTCTACCACCAGCAATTCATTCTGCTTAATCTGGTTCCTTAGTTTCCCCACTTCAGCAGAGGCTCCTTCATACTTCGTTTTCATTTCTTTCAACTGATCCTTCAGCTCCTCTGTTAGCTTACTGTTTCCCGAAGCAGCTTCATTAGTCAGGTGATCTTTCAGAGCAAGAAAGTGGGTCTGCATTTGCTTAACTTTGCCTTCCGAGTCAAACATTCTTTTCTGTACATCTTTTAAAGCATCTTCCAGTTGTTTTATCTGTCCATCAGATTCCACCTTGGTTCTTTCACACTCTGATGCCAAAGCTTTACATTCAGATACCTTGTGAGACAGTTCCCTCTGCAATTTGCTAATTTCTTCTTTTGCTGCACCATAGCAGGTCCTCATGTTGTCAAGTTCTTTCTTTAAAGTTTCCTTCTCTGAACTAGATGATTGGTTAGGCAGGGAGAGCTCCAGGGGTCTCAGCATAGACCTAGACTGAAGATAAATTGGCACAAAAATGAATACCTGTTTACAAGTTTGACAAATCATATATATGTATATGAGCTTTCATATACATAACTGTCTTAAACCTATGTTGATACAAGCATAAAATTTGTCTGAGAGATTTCTTTTTTTTCTTAGAAACACACTAATCTATTCTTGCCCATATTACAGAACATATGTATTTCAGCTTTTAACAGTAAAAATCCTGAATATAGCTCTACATTACTGTTTCCCAATCATTGGGCCCTACTGACATTAAAGTGCAGGTATAGTATATTCATTTCATTTCCCTTGTTATTCATATTTAATCACTCATCTGCTAGAAATTTAATTTAAGAGATTTCCCCTGTCCCTCAAGCATGTGAAAATAATTTCAAAAGGAATCAGAACAGAGTATGTCATGGTTAACAGAACCTTCTCTCTGAAAAGACTGAGGAAAACTGTCATTTCATTTACTGTCCAGTAAAAGATCTCAAAAAAACCAGTTTTGCCCTCCTGCCACGCGGTCTTCACTACCAGCTGTGATGGCTATTACATGGCACAGGCTTGCTCCAATGATCTCATTCATGTTCCAAGGACCAGAAAGCAGTATGTAGCTTCCAGACATGACTAGCTTAAAGCCACTTAACTCCTGCTTGGGACATGGTTTGGATTTTTTTAGTTGGTTGGCTTTTTGTGCCCACACCCCCCTTTTTTCTTTTTCTTTTTTTTCCCCTAAAGAACTGCACATCAACTCATTTTAAACTTCAACTAAGAATAAAAAAAATCCTAAGACCATTTGGATAACCTTATGTAAAACATGGCAGAAGAGACTGTATTTTTCTGTGTTACCAGCAGAAGATACAAAACACATACATCAGTGAAATCTGGCAAGAAAGCATAGGATGTTAAGATTTATTTCTAGCCATCGCTCACTTCTGGAAGCATTACAGCTGAAATACTCAAGTGTAAGAACAGTTTGTCAGTTAGGACCAATCCCTATCACATATGACTCACTGTAAGAGCCTGATAGGCCTTGTTAATATCTGAATTGTGGCTTTAAAAGGTAGCTATCTATCAGCAGAGTTGGCAGGTAATTATTATGTAGCTGGCAGGAAAATAAAGTCTTCCGAGTTTTAGCTGAATTTAAAATAGGAAAAAATCATGGAGGTGAACAACCAGTTGCACTTTACACTGACTGTTGATTCAGTTTTAAGAATGCTCATTACAGACCATTTAGTATTTGACATTTTCACAGCATTTAGAGCTATGTCACATATCTAACTCTAGAGGGCACCAGCAGTTAAAAATAAACATAGCAAAGCAAGTATTACAGAAAATTTTGTATTCAGAAGCAACGTTTAACACATGTACATTTATAAGTATATTTAGCTTTCCCAAGCATAACTATCTTAGAATTCTCTTAAGTAGAAAAATATTTATTACCTGTGATTCCACAGCAAACACTTGGCCTTGCTTAAGTAATAAGTCTTCTTTTCCTAGATTTGCAGAGCAAACAGCATTTAGTCTCTATTTAAAAACAGTAACACATAATCACAAGAACTGTGATTTTCTTTCCTAATTTTATTCTATTCAATGGGACTGCGCTAGGCTGCAGGCTGGTGTTTAAGTACTTGGTATTAAAACAACTCCTCCTTAATTAATTCACATAGGAAGTCTGGACAAACTCCTACTAACAAAAAAAAAATACTCCTACTATGTCAGGCTAGGTATTGTTCTGCAAAACAGTCGTGAAAGCCACCTTGAGCTAGCTGCATGCCTGCACATGAACGCAGCTGGGTAAAGCACCCTCTTGCACTCCAAATAAGTGATCCTTCCTGACAGGCAGCTAAACAGCTCTCGTGACAGCTCATGACAGATTAACTAACATTTTAAGTTACACAAGCACAAGACAGGCCTGTAACCAAGCTGGATGCAAAAGACTTCAGTTTCTGGAAATGGAATCATTTCTAATAGAAGTGTAAGCTGAGGTCTTGTGTTTAAAGTTGCTTTCAAACCTACCTACACTCAAGCTTTCACAATGACCATAGTTTTTTTGTCATGAGCTAGACATAAATGTTGTTTAAGATATGAAGAATGGAAAGGGGAAGACTCAATTTGGGGCACAGATCTTGCTCAGCTTGTTTTTCATTACTAGAAGATGTAGCAGAGTTACAATGCACATTTTACAAGACCAGTCACTCATAAGTGAGACTGATCAATAGTGCCCTAGCACTCAGGTACAAACACAACTGGGGCCAGCTGACTATTCTGAGGTTTGAAGTGTGGACACACACATTATGCTTGGCTATAGTTAAGACGAACAAAAGGAAGAGTTGACAGAAAAAAACACCCTTTGTCTATATATTCTAACACTGCATCATGCATGGCAAGTTTTAAGAATTAAATATACTTACTATTACCAAAGTTACTTCCAGATCCCACAAAGTCAACCTGAAAGCAAACAGCAAGAAGCACAAAAATAAAGCTGAAAATGCATTTCAAATTTTTACTATATGTTAAGCTAGTGATTAAAGGGCAGGGAAGCCTTTTACAATGAGATAACCATTTAAGACTTTCAACAATTTAAAATAGCTTCAGTATTTACTACTGTAAATATCAATTGCTATATTACATTTCAAATCAATTAACATACTTCATAATATTTGAGTTTAGCTTTGAGAGCTTCAATAGTTCTTAAGCTTTCTTCTTGCTGTTTTTCCTTGGTAGTTAGGATTTTCTTCAACTCATCTTTCTGAAAGAGAAAGAGTGCCAAATAACCAAAGCCACAAGAATGGACGGATTTATAAGATCTCAAGCAACTTTTTAAAAAGTTTAGGGAGAACTTCAACCAAAATCAGCACTGAAAGAATACCTAAATTTTTGATTCTGAAGTTCTTCCACAACACTGCTCCTCTACAAGAGGAGTCCTGAAGAATGAGTCAAGGGAATATGCACCAACATAATTTGCTATCGTTTCATTTATTTACATTTATTAGTCTCGCATTACTAAAAGTCACTAAAGAGATACTTGTAATATTAAGTCTACTTTAAAGGTGCCACAGGGATTACATATATTATTTGTAGTAACAGAAATGCTGTGCAGCCATATAAACCGAGTACACATCAGTAGATATATCATCTAGCATTTAGAGATAGCTTTTCTTTTCTCTGTAGTTTTAAATAGCATTACTTCAATGCGATAGTCACTTCCCCTATTTCATAGTTCTATTACACTTTAAGGTGATGTATCGTACCTCATTTTCAAGATCATCTGCAAACATTTGCTCCTGCAAAAATAACAAAGAAAATTCCCCCACAAATCATTTTTTTCAATAATGTTTAAGGGGCTTATACACAGTTCATTAGTTGACGAGTCTACCCCAGTTTCTAATGCTACATGCTTCTGACTGTTCCACTTCCATTTACCATCTAACCTCTGACAAGAGAAATAAAAATAAACAGAAGTTAAGGATGTTTGACAGAGCCATGTCTCTTGACACGAATACTAGGAAACTGGAATATCTTTTCAGTTATCTAGATCATACACTACTGCGGCAGAAGAGTACAGTTTTTCAGTACAAGTTTACTGATTTTGGAAAGCGAGTATTAAGGAGTTTGTGGTTTTTGTTTGTTTTTTATAAAGGCAATGCTTAAGAGAGAAGTTCAGACAAGCCAATGATTATGAGAAGAAATATTCTTTCTAGCCATGTGCTACATTTAGGGGAAGCTGCACGCACTTTTTAAATGTACCTCCGCAAAAATACAGTGAAGGAACAAATTTGAACCTCCACAAAGCAAAAAAAAAAAAAAAACCACCTGTTTTTATTTTCTTCCTCAATTGTACTGGTCATTTAGACCTCTAAGAAGAGGGAACTTTTTTTAAAAACAGGGTTTCAAATTTGGGTGAGAAATTCCCTATTGAAAACCCTTGTTTCTGTTTTTGCTAATTGAAGATTTTCTGTGTTTCCACTTACAACAACAGCTGGAAAGTAAGCAGTGGCTATGATAAAGTACTGACACACAACACCTACATTTAATTGTGCAGATGAAGTTTACTCTCCAAATTACAACATACCAGAACACCTCATGGTTCATGTTAGATTGCAAAGTATAGCCATAAATGTTATTGCTCAAATTTATGAGTATCAGTGAATGACGTTGTAACATGTCTCCTCACATTTTGAATATTACAAGACCAAAGGCTTTTGCAGCAGAAGGAAATGACAGTGACACATATAGAAATAATTCACAGGAAAGCAGTGAAGTCCGCGCCCTAATTACACGTGCTTTCCTTCTGCTTCTACCAGCCTTCACTGTCAGCATCAGGTGGTTATTACAGCTTTCAAGTCAGGTTATTCCAATACTAAGTTTACCTCATTCAGTTGTTGTTGTAGCCCACTGATTCTACCCAGCAGCATCCTTTGCTCCTCTTGCACCTCTCTCATTCGATCTTTCAAATCTTGATTTTCTAACTCCAATTCCTTAAAAAGTAAGTAAAAAAAAATTGAAAAAACAGAAAACACCACGCTACACACAGATTGGGAAAACTAAAGAATCTGAACCAACAATTAACAGTCATTAAAGACACCACGCATTGCCTAACAAGTCCCCCAATGATTTTGTGGCCTTACTCCAGGTCTGTTTCGTTCTGAAGTTTTACATAAGCACAAGCTCCAGAGTCTTCAAGCTTTTCAGCTCTAGGTAGCTCATTTTCATATAAGTGTACACACAGGTTTTGAAAGTATGAGCAGAGTAAGATTACATTCAATGCTGACAGCACTCAAGAGGCTGCTTATCTGCTGTCTGTTAACAAGTAACAATAACTAACGTTAAAACAGCTCCTGAAACCCAACCACTGCAGCCAAAGGTGCAATGAAAAAGCCTCACCAGCATGAAGCATAGCAACCTTTAAATGTGCTAACTGTTCCAGCAGCCACAAGAATCACCCTAGTAACGTATAATAAATCCAACACATGAAAATGATAGGTCTTTGCGCCGTCAATCAGTTCAGTGCTCACATGCAAACAATAAAGCATGTTTAACTCTTGCCTGATAATCGCCGCCTTAACTGTGGTAACTACTTTAGCTCAAACCAGAGAAGTTGCATTTAGAGATCTTTATCCTTTTATTACAAAGCATTTCAGAACGAAGGCCTCAATTTCTCAGTGGTTTGCTCCCCATAGCTTAAAACGTTGTTTACTTTTTTGAAAACTGTAATGACATAGTAATGAGATGAGAAAATTAATACTGGTTAATAGAACAATTATGACACAGGTTATTTTTAGTAAGACACTTAAACACACATGTCTTGATAATGTTAAAAAAGTAAGTCTTCCTGCTTTGTGACCCTATGATTTTACTGCAGGCGAAAGTAGTAGACAGAAGGTTAAGAGATAGGAGAAGTTAAGACACGAAGAAACTTGGAACTATATTACACAAAAAAGATTTTTTTCCCCTGAAAAAGTTTACAGCTTATCTGCATAATTGCCACATTACACAGTCATGCAATTAAGTTTTAAGTAAACAGTAATATATGACCTTTCTTAATGGAATCGTTAATGCTTACTTACAAGCACATCTTGTCTTTAGTATGTCTGGTTCATTATGCGTGTGGGAATACACAAGTCACAGAAATCCTTCTCGCTTACCTGAGCATTATGTTCCTTCTGATACAGCTTGACATTCACCTCTTCCTGCGCATGCAGCCGATTCCACTTCTGTGACATATTAGTAATCTGTAATTGCAACAGTAAAGTATTAATTTATATTCCTGTTGTGTTCTGCAGACATCCACTTCTGGGGACAGTGGGCTGCTCAGCCTCCATTTCAGCTTCCACTGGGGGGCAATACTACCAACATTCACATTTTGACAGATTGCTTCTCAGTAAGAAGTCACTCATGATCTCATCCAGACAGTAAATGGGATGCTTGTCAAAACTCTAATCCTGAATATGCACATCATTGAATATTTTTCAAATAGAAACAGACACACCATCTGATTACATAGGAATCTTCTCAGCTACATATGAAGTTAGGAATTTGAAAAATACTGAACTAGTTTTGCATCACAGCACAATCTTAATCACCCCCTCAACAATACCAGCGATATATTGCCCTAGGAGATACTTAGTATAAGCAGCCTTACCTTTTGTTCAGGCTGCCCTTTCTTCATGGTATCTCTTGCTAAAAAAGCACCACAAAAATAGGAAGTTAAAAATTCATTTCACTCATGCAACACATTCAGCTAATTCTATCAAGTTTCAATCTTGGGAGGACATTTCAAGAAATAGATTCACCACGACCCCAGTTAATCAGATATGGAAACATTCACAAGCACAAAGTTTTTCTATAAATAAGGCTAAATAACTCCTATGATCAATACTGCAATGCCAGGTTCAGCCATGTTAATACCTCAAGGCATCAGAGCCTGCATTAAACTTAAAAGCTTTCTTTACTAAAAACAAACAAAAACCAAAAGCCTCCTTTCCCCTCCCAAACAGGCAGCTTATCACCTTTTTGTTAAAAGGACTACAGCTGCCCTCCAAAAAACAGTTCCTGAAGACACAGCAGTGGGAAGATACGCAATTCAAATGAAAGAATAACAGCAAACTGTTATAGCCATGTTCTTCATACCTTTGCTGGAATCCTCAACGGCAGCTTTTATTAAAGCCAAAATGTCAATATTGTCACCAATTCTGGCATAGTAAGCACAGTCATGACCAAGGCCATCAGACAAACTAACATCCGCATCATTTTTGAGCAAAACTTCTACCGCATCCTTGCAGCCGTATTCACAGCCTAACATTAAGGCAGTCCTGAGGACAGGGAGAAAGATTGCGTTCAGAGACTCGGGGGATCTCACGCTTTAATGGAGTGATCACTTAGAGAAATAATCCTTTGTACACTTATGTCTAATCATGGAAACTTGAGTCAAGGAATCTTTCCTCTATCAAGAGAGGAAACAGCTTTAAAAAGTCATTTAGTCAATGTTTAAATATTTGTTAAAAAGCAAGCAAAAACACTGCAATAGCAACATTCTCATGAAACCCAGCATAAACTTACTGCCTTTGAGAGAGCCACCCAGTGTTTTGAAAACTCATGTGACTTTTGGCTTCCTCTCTATTTAGATACAAATCTCAATAGACACAACAAACACAAGACAAGAAGTTTAGACAAAGTTAGGGGGGCAAGTGCTTGGGAGCCCTGGCAATGCCTTCCAAACACTTGCCAGCTTCAGAACATGCAATGCAAGTACCCATGCTTTGTCCCCCAGCAGCCTCACATCCATTGGCCACCAGACAGTCATCCTCCAAGAAATAACTGGCAGAAGTAGCAGGTACAAAGAGAAAACCCCTCCCTTGCCCCCCCTTCCATGAATATAGAAGCAAGCATTTCAAGGCCTTTAGGTCCCTTCAGAGCTCCAATGGGACCCAAGTACTTTTTGACAGAGTACCACTTCTGTCACAATCCATTTTGCATATTGATTCCATAGAGTGCAAGATGCAGCTTTGGACAGACAAACCCTTAAAGCAGTCAACTGCAGTTTCTCTGCTGGCAGTAACAAGCCTGTATGTATGTTAGATGCAAGAACAAGCAATAAAAAGAGGCCACGCTTATCTGCATTATTGAATTGGCACATTACTTCTGAACTAAATCCCAGTTTTTTTTCCACTGAATTTAGCGTATTTATTCTGTAGCCTGAAAGCCAAGGGACAGCTTTTTACCCTTTAAATGTCAGCAGGCATTCTGACAACCCTCTGCATGCATTACCTGTTTTGTTTGTCCCTGGCATTAACATCCGCTCCTCTGTCTATCAGAAGCTGACAAACTGTGGGACGACACATCTGAGTGGCCAGCACTAGTGGTGTCCTCCCATCCTGAAGAGAGGAAGGGGGAAAGAAATAAGGAAAGGGAGAGAAAGCAAAGAAAGCACAAGACCTCCAATAGGGTTTGTAAAGGAGAGAGCTATAAGCAGCAACTTACTCCATCTTTCGAATTTACTGAGGCCCCATGATCACACAGTAGTTGTATGCTAGAGGAACAGTCTGACATAGCTTTCAAGAGAAAAAGAAAGAGCAAGTTATACTGCTGAAAACAGCCTTCGTGAAACCTCAAACACCTCCTTGGGTGTATTTGTTTCACAAAAATTCATGCAACTAAGTTAAAGCACGACAAGGCTCTGTGATTTAGTTCTCACACAACCATCTCAAAAGCACATGAAAAGAAATCAAACCCTACTGTTCAAGACACGGCATAGCATATGAGGCTTCAGACAGTCCAAACTAAAGGTATCTTAACCTACTAACATCATTGCTCTAAAACACTGCTCATGATACTTGCTTAAGATTTTATTAGACAATTTACGAGCATCAGAAAAGACTCAGACCTACAGTCTCTGCTAAGTCTGTTAACAAGTTTGTTACTGAGGACAAATGTCATGAGAACAGAAAACATTTTCTCCTACTACAGTCACCAAAATTGAGAGAAGAATTTCGCCCATCTGAAAATTAATCCATTAACTGAATCTAGATTTCATACTAGTTACCAGAAAAGCAAAACCTTTTACCTGCGTCATGAAGAGCCGTTCTTCCTTGAAGATCCACATTCTCCGTAGGACAATTGTACTTTTAAAATAAGTAACCCCCATTATCAGTTAGGATTCAGATTGCACTTACAAAACATTTCATGTTTTGAGGCTTGAATTAAAGTAATAAAAAGTGATTTAAGAAAAAAAATATAACTTCGTAGCTTACAAATATACTGACACACATGAAAGAAAAGGGCTATGGGTACTCAAACTTTAGTGTTCTAAACACACTGATCAAGAGTTGTAGAAGTTAAGACCATGCAAAGAACATGCGCAATTCATCACAGACTTTTCACAAACACTTTCAAATGTTCATTCGCTATGGCTAAGATTCTCCACTACTTGTCATTCTCCTTCGCTACCAGTATCACTACTAGTTCTGGCACTCCACAGGAAATGTGCCATTTATATCTGCATGGAGACATGCATCAATAAAATAGAAGATAAAAGAACCCATTAAAAGTTAAAAAAAAAAATAAATCAAATGAGCATAAACTGATCAGGAATAAATGAAGAAAAAAATAAGTATCACACAAACCTAAGACAACCCCCCAATATTGTTTCCCTAATGAAAGATTATGAATATAAATGCCCATCTTTTGAAGAAAACACTAGTCTTGAGCAGACCTTCTGGTGTTCCTAAATGCAAATGTATTCGCAAAAGGAGCACTAGTCTTTAAAAGACACTCAACTCCATTTTCTTTAAGAGGTAGAAACTACAACTTGATTTGATTGTCTATGTGAAGAGAGGAAAAGATGTTAATTTTCTTTATTTTAGCACTCTTTCAGCCACAACCTGTTATTTAATATGAAAAGGTCTTTTCCCCATGACTGTCTTTTTCAAAAAAGAATGTAATTTTTTAAAAAAGAGAGAGATGAGTGGCATATCCCAATTTTGAACCAGTATATTTAAGAGCACCTTTTTTCTTCTCAAGAATAAAAACCATAACAGGCAAATTGTGTTTTTCAGTACCTGCAACAGCTTCTGCAAACATAAAGCATGTCCGTATTTTGCAGCTAGGTGCAATGCGTTTCTACCTAAAAAGAGATCAACATCAATAGCAGCAATAGCAGCACAAAGCCGAAGTTCGCAAGTTCTGCTGCATGTCAGGGGCATTCATGAACTTATATCACTGGCCATGACCAGTTTCCTCTAAGTTCAGCAACAAGTCACACAGATAATTTTTTTGCCAACCACAGGGAAATCCATGGAAAGGAAGAACACCTATCCTATAGTTTAGCTTAATCCCACTCCAAAATAAAATCAAGCTGAGAACTTTTGCAAGTTGCACTTGGACATCTGAGGAAGCCTACCTGCAGCATCAGTGGCTGTGATATCAACTCCGTGAATAAGGATGGTGTTCAAGCAATCCAGGTTTCCCTTTGACGCTACAACATGGAATCTAAAAATAGAAATGCCTTGCTTAAGCACAACTGTTTTATAGACAAAAATGGTAATATTAACCAGGAAAGTCAAAGCAAACAGCTGCATACTGAAAGCATTATACAGTACAAATCCAGCTTTGGACAGCATCCAAATCCAGTTAAGAGTTTTGCAGATTTTACTTTAAGGAACAAGATGACTTTTTGGAGTAGTCATCATTATTTACCTTGAATCAGTGAGCCAGGTGAAAAACCAATACACTTTCAATTTCTCTAACATTCAAATCTGGCAAAAGCAAGTATTTAAATACTGATCTTCACTTTGAAGTGAAGATTGTTTATAAGAATTTGACATTCTAGCTATCTGTATTCTAGTTTAGGTGAGGCTAAAATCTAACACGATGTATTACAAAGACTTATATATTAAAGAGTTTTTAGAGCAGCAGCAAGATTTAGGAATTGAGTAACTTTCAGTAGCTTCCCAATACCATTATTGGAGTACTGGAAGTTACTTACGCAGATCTCCCTTCCACATCCAGTTTAGTAGGACTGACTCCTTTTTTGGCAAGGATTGATGAAACCTTTTCCACATCGCCCCTTTCAGCTGCTTTCATTAACCTGTCATCATATTTGTTCCAGTCTGTGTTCAGCTGAATAAGAGAATTAGAAAAGCAAGTGAGCTTATGGTACAGTACTGATCTACTAAAGCAACTTCAATAAAAGGCTGAATCATATGCAATTGGCAGGGCGGGGAGGTAAAACAAAAAATATCTTGGTTCACAGATAGAGTTGTACCTGTTAAGACATTTAGAGTTATTTATCTATAACAACACTGTAGTATTTCAATTAGGCTGTTAGCATTGAATGTACAGTGCTCCAAGACAGTCTGGTTAAGTCACTTTCGTCCTAAAGGAGACCGTTAGGATCAAACCGCTTTGGTTTTCCTCATTCTGCTTTGTTCTGACTAATAGGACTAAAACTAAAGTCACTGTTGTGGTTTAACCCGGCAGGCAGCTAAACACCACACAGCCGTTCACTCACTCCCACACACCCCCCCCCAGTGGGATGGGGGAAAGAATCGGAAAAAAAAAGTAAAATTCATGGGTTTAGATAAAGACAGTTTAATAGGACAGAAAAGGACAATTGCTTACCACCCACCGACCGATGCCCAGCCAGTTCCCGAGCAGCGGTCACCGCCCCCCCGCCAACTTCCCCCAGTTTATGTACTGAGCATGACATCATATGGTATGGAATACCCCTTTGGTCAGTTGGGGTCAGCTGTCCCAGCTGTGTCCCCTCCCAACTTCTCGTGCACCCCCAGCCTGCTCGCTGGTGGGGTGAGAAGCAGAAGAGACCTTGACTCTGTGTAAGCACTGCTCAGCAATAACAGAAACATCCCTGTGTTATCAACACTGTTTCCAGCACAAATCCAAAACAAAGCCCCATACTAGCTACTGTGAAGAAAATTAACTCTATCCCAGCCCAAACCAGCACAGTCACAGTCGCACACAGTAGTTCCCTATCCTCATTCTCACATAAAAAGTTTTCAGACAGTTTCTCATATTAGGGTGTCTTCAGACATCTCCTTCTGGCCCCTCTATCTGCCACGTGAGGCTGTCCAGACAGCTATCTTTTCACTGCATCTTTACTTTCTCTTCTCTCATCACAGATACTTCGATCCTGACCAAAAAAAAAAAGTGTCCATCCCCCCACAGTGGTTGATTAACACACACAAAAAACTGCTACATAGGGCCGTGATAAACTAAGGACTTCACACAACAAAGGAAGGGCTAGCATATGTACTTGTACACATACACACTTTATAGAGGAGCAACTTGTAGTATCTGAAAAACATTGCAGTGTGTCTAGAAGGGACTTCAGAAGTTATGCAGACAGGGAACCCCACACAAGACCAGCTATAGGTCTGCATTGTTGTTCTGGTACTCGTCTAACTCTCAAAAGCACTGAAGGAAAGGGTAGAGTGTCCAAGGAGACCTGCAGTTCAGTCCTTCATTAATCGTATCGGAGAACATTTTCCCTAATGCCTAGTTATCACATTTTAATCTCTCCACTATGCACATTAAGAACTCCCTCCCCTCCTTTTCTCCACAGCACCTATATATCTGAAAATCTGTCTCTTCTTAGTCTCATGCCCTTTAGGGAAGGCACATCAACTGTCCTCTCACATCAACAAGGCAATTGACTAGATTAACTGTATGAAAACCGGAGAGTTTCTTGTTCATCTTGTTTGGCAGTTGGACTAAATGATCATTGTAGGTCCCTTCGAACTGAAATAGGCTATTCCATTCTATCTTTATGTCAATCATTTGAATTGTAACAGTCTAAACAAAACAATCAAGTGTTTCATTTCTATATATTAAATCTGTCCATGCCTCAAAAATTACAAATTAATAAACAAGATGCAACACAAAGGAACAGAGAAGTGAGGAGCTGCAAGTAACAGAGCCCAAAATACTACTGCTAACAACTTCCAGTTTAAGTAATCATCTCCAGTATAAGCTTTTCAGTATTCATAAAAAATGATTTCATAAGGAAGTTGGCAGATAAAACACAGCCGCTATAATTTTCCCCTCTATCAACCCCTATATAGTAAAGGTACCATACAGAACTCAACAGGTGAGCTTTGAGAGATATTTAAACAGGACAATTATGAAATATGTGATCAACAGCAGACTTCAGTTTTCATGAATTCAGCAACACATGAAATGCGTACTAAATTTAGCCCTCTCTAAACCAAGTTCACATTTATCAAGAACAGCTGAGCTTCCCAGCTTTACTGAAAGTTACGCTGTTTTTCATGTCCTAACTAAAACTGATGAAAGAACATCAGAAAAGCAAAAGGCAGAGACCCTATTTTCACCCCGCCAACTCATACAAGTTGCTTTTCCTGAAAACATTCTTTCATCCACCCACAGGGGTGCCGAGTTTGACGCTGCTTCCCACCCCATGTAACCGCAGGCTGCTGCCAAGAGCATCCCTCCCCTCCCCAGTCACTCTCCCTCCACTTCGTGTGCCTCAGGCCAGGGGGAGCACGCTCACTCTGCAGCTGCCCAACAAGCTGATCTGTTAGAAAATGTCTACAAAGAGAACTGCCATGAAACCAGCTCGCTGACCTGATCCACCTGCAGCCAGGTTACAAGGAAGGAAAGGCACAAGCACACAGCAGGGGACAGCAGCAGATCTGATACGACACCGGACCGTACCCCAACACTGCACGGTACGAAACCAAATGCTGCAAGTCAACGTACGTACGCACATGACATCAGTACAGAAACATACTTACTAATTCAACTCATTGAATTTGGCTATTATTAAAAATAGATCTGAACTAGCTCCAATAGGTCCCAAGCAGTTTTCAGTTTTAACATCAAATGGATGCGCTAAAAATATGCAAGAGGACACAGCTTTTCCCGACTCTGTCAGACTGCTCAAAGGGTCAAAATTTAGCTAAGTGTGATATTCAAGAGATGAACATCTATAGAGCTGTAGAAGAAAGAAGTTCAAAGTTTATAGCTTTAAGTTGCCTGCAATTACCAAAGCAATGAAGAGTGTCAAGAAAGTATGAATCAGTTATAAATAGACCACCATGCATTCAGTCTCAGACATTTGTCACCCCCCACTTTTTCCTTGTTTACTTCAAATTTAGAATTTCAGGCCACAGGCCAAGCATCCCACCCCAAAACGCAGAGCTTGTTCTCTTCATTGCCAAACCATCCTTTCTGAATTGCTTTACTCTTTTCAGGAAATTGTGTTCTGGGACAGAAACCTCATGGCCAAGCTGGACACTCATGACTTGATAATTCAAGAAGCTTTTAACAGAAGAAAAAGGCTTATAATAGAATCATAGAATCATTAAGGTTGGAAGAGACCTCCAAGATCATCAAGTCCAACCATCAACCCAACAACACCATGCCCACTAAACCATGTCCCTAAGCGCCTCATCTACCCGTCTTTTAAATACTTCCAGGGATGGTGACTCAACCACTTCCCTGGGCAGCCTGTTCCAATGTTTAACTACTCTTTCAGTAAAGAAATTTTTCCTCACGTCCAATCTAAACCTCCCCTGGCGCAACTTGAGGCCATTTCCTCTCGTCCTTTCGCCAGTTACTTGGGAGAAGAGACCAACACCCACCTCGCTCCAACCTCCTTTCAGGGAGTTGTAGAGAGCAATGAGGTCTCCCCTCAGCCTCCTTTTCTCCAGGCTAAACAACCCCAGCTCCCTCAGCCACTCCTCATAAGACTTGTTCTCCAGACCCCTCACATAATAATGAAGTATTATATTCAAATCTAACTCTACACAGCAAAAGAATTTACTGATAACAGTGAGACATAAGCAGCCTGTAGGTACATGAAGTTACTTATCACTGTGGATCAGAAGTTCCATGCCTCACTGAATAAAGAACATTAAAACTGGTAAACCTAATACTTTCCAAAACAGAGCAGCCAAAGAATAGCTGAAAACATTTTTGTTTCTTTAAGTGAGAAAGCAGCCTGTCAATCCCATATCCTTCATGTTGGGTTCATCACAACACACTCCTCCGCCTCCTTAAAGCACCAAACACACTACACAAGTCTTAGCAGTCTTCATGTGAAAGCAAGAAGAACAATAATAGATAAAAACCAAAAGGTACGTACGATCCTCATGTTAAAAAGATACAGTTACATTCTATCAAGACAGGACTACCTTCTCCTTAAGACTGTCTTGCTAGCAAAGACCGAAATTTTTCAAGATTTAATGTAATAAAGTCTGGAAGATCCACAACGGAGAGAGCCAATGCTCTCAATTAGCCAGTTCTCAGTGGTCAGAGCCCAAAGCTGCAGCAAGCAAGGTCCCGCCTTGCACTAGAGCCAGGGTTTGATAGGTAAAAGAGGAGATACAAAGAGAAGAACAAAACCAAAAACCGACTGCCACCACCCTGCATCTGTAGAATGATTTGTATAATGGAGTTGTAATCCTGATTATCTTTATTCCCCATTCTCATGATATAAACAAGATTACAGTAATCAAAGTCTTAGCAATAGCTTATTCAGTACAATACTTGCTAAAAGTGACATGAAGTAATAAAAATAGACAACTAAAAATTATACCCACTAGTGTTGCCCTGCCAAAGTGCAGTACCAACTGTCAATCGATTAAAACATCCATTAGCTTAAAAGCCAAGTCAGCCTGGTTGGCATAATGAAGTCTTTACATTGGCAACATTACTGTTCACAGCAAAAGCTGCATGCATTGCCAGGGGGGAAGACAGCATTCCTCCGCAGCTTGGCAAAGTTTCCTCAGCTATAAGCTACCTTATTATGCAAGTTAAGTTTTATTTTTAAATACTTTAGAAACTATACATACATGAAGCTCTGTTCCCTCTGAATTCTTTTGCATATGACACATTTCACATCCTTAGAGGAAAGCAATCACATCTTGCATGTTTGCAACTGGGTTTAGATCGCTGAGTTTCATATTTGCAGCTTATACTTGCTAGCACAAACTCACTCAAACGTATAGAAAACCCTTCACCAGCCATTCTTTCCTCCTATTTCGTAAAACTTCTGATTAGCAAGAGCTTTTTTTTTTTAAATTACTATCATCTTAATATTATCTTTTTTCCCTTTGCTTATAACACTTAGGAAGTGGATACAATTTACTTATGATGTACTAAATCAAATATTGTCACCCGAGCATTTAACATTTAAAGAAAATTCCTCACAGGAAGAGTTGTTAAGGACAGATATAACTCACATTAAAAAGGAACAGTTACAAAACATTTACAGAATTCAATCTTTCACATTTTTGCAGTTGTAAACTACTGCCATTGATATGAAATCTAAGATACCTACTATGTCTTTAGCTGCACAAGAAAACCAAGAAGTCATCATAGAACTTGCAGCTTCTCGCTGCCAGAAGCAATCAGTTTATCTCACATCAAGTTACAAACCGCTGCAGCTCACAAAGCACCAAGCCAGAGTTCAAACAGGCTGCTTCAAGAAATGTATTCTCTCCACTGCCCTGAATTCATTTTGTTCCATCCTTCACTTAGCTTGGATCCCCAAGTATATTTTCCCCGTCTTCAGGATCATCTTCAGACTTCATAACTCTTATAAAAATATGGGCTACCCCCAGCCAGAGGCTGCCTGGCTGGTGAAGCCCTTCGTGGGTCCGGCCGCCGGCTCAGCCTGTCCCTGCCCAGCAATCCCCAAGAAAACCCTCCCAGAGCTTTTGTTTCTGCGTTGCAACAGACTGCCAGAGTGACTCAGACTCACAAGTAAATATTGCCCAGATCTAAAATATCTTGTAAACAATACGTAGACAGTCTCATCAGCCCAGATCTATTTTCTGATAATCCAGTACTTGATAGCCAAGCGATAGAAAGCAATAGCTATTAATACATTCTCCACATGCTCATGCCCTGAGTAACACATTTTAGATTTAATGTTAACTAACAAGACAAGCATGCATGAAACTTTACTACAGTGTTGTTATGTTCTGCAGACATGCAAACACTCACTTTAAAATAACAAACACGTTAGTCAAATTAACTGTCCACTGACATTAATGAAGGTCATACTTATCACCACTAATAACACAGAAGGACTGAAATACTCGCAGGAGTAATTTTTTCCCATTCCACCACACCAAAGCCAAAACCAGACTCATGATCAGACTTCAGACAGTTACAACTGCAGAGCAGATGGAATGCATGATCCTATTTTGACAGAAATGTAACCGATTTTAAATTAGAAAACACACATGCCTCTGCTTTAAAAAAAAAATCTCCTTTTACAGTGATGAAACCCATTCTGAATAGAACCTGGTTTCAGCTTACTGCTGCTGCCAGTCTGTCTCCCAACATGTTAAATGAGAGGAGTCACAGAGGCTGTCAAAACATTAAATAGACAGCATAATGATTAACAGCAGGGAAGATGTAGACTCTCACAAGTTTTAAATTTAAATGGAGATCTCTCTCCTGAGTGCCATATTTAGAGGGCTAGGTCAACATGACAAGCAATGCACTGTTTTGTCTGCAGAACAGAAACATGGTGCATAGCCAGAAAAACCACATACACACATACCCTGGAGGACACACACAAGAGACTGCAAATAACTTAATAAATGGGTCTTCTCAGGAAAGGTATTTTAAAAAAATCACTCATATT